ATTATTATTATTATTATTATTATTCCCTGCCCATCTGACTGGATTGCCCCAGCCACTCTGAGCAGCTTCCAGCATATACAGAAACATAATAAAACACCAAACATTAAAAGCTTCCCTATACAGGGCTGCTTTCAGGTGTCTTCTAAATGTTCTAAAGTTACTGATCTCTTTGACATCTGATGGGAGGGTGTTCCACAGGGTGGGCACCACTACCGAGAAGGCCCTCTGCCTGGTTCCCTGAAACCTCACATCATACAGTGAGGGAACTGCCAGAAGTCCCTTGGAGCTAGATCTCAGTGTCCAGGTTGAACGACAGGGGTGGAGACACTCCTTCAGGTATATATATATTGTTGTTTTATTGATTTATGAATTGTCTTCCCCGTTGAGTCTCAAGGCAATTTGAAACCAACATAGTACAGTATGTAGGCAGTTTGCTCAAACCTCTGCTGTTGTTTAAAACCACCATTTCTCCCTCTTTCCCCTCCACCCCTGTTTTACTCAATTTTCTGCCATTGTTTTAAACCCCCACTTTCCCCTCTTCTCCCTTCCTTGCCTTGGCCACTATTGTTGTGCAACCTGCCTTTGCTTTTACTCCTATAACCTGCCCTAATTTCATGTAAATCGAAGATTGTGATTAGGCACTACAAATCCTTCAGTGGGGGCAGTATGATGGCAGCCTTACGTTTATATCTATATAGAAAGAAAGAAAGGGATAAATTGCTTCCCTTTAAAAATTAATTAGACAGGTGACATTTCTGTTGTCTTTTCAATTAATGATGTCTTATTAATCAATCAATCAATTTTATTTATATACAACCTTTATCTTTGATTTAATCCATCTGGCGTCTTATGTTCTTCTCCCATTCTTCCCTGAGTGCAATCAGAGCTAGATTGTGTGCAGCTTTTTAAACACAAGGTTTTCCTCTCCGCCCTAATCAGTCAAACTCATGAATTACTTTGATGTACTACAAATCTTAATGTTAGGTATTTTTTAAAAATGATATATGTAGTATGTAGCGTCTTCCTATTTCATGTACTCATGTATGTTCTTGCTTTCTAAGAGGCATGTAGTGCCTCCGGCAAACCTTCTCTTTATCTTCCTTTACGTTTCTGCAACACTGTCCACAAATACACACCACTCTTTAATGTCTTCGGTGTAAGTGAGGAATGATCGTCTGGCTTAGAAATGAAAGTTCCTCTACCAGGAAAGAAGCTGCAGGCAATGTTAGCTTCATCACAAAGCTTGCTATGAGAAACCGGCCAAAGACAGACATCAAAGCCTGAGAAGCCTGATCTCACTGCAACTACAAGGAACAGCATCCAACTAAGGCCCAGCAAGTGTGACCTCAATGTGGAAGCGCTCCCTAAGATCATTACATACCAGACACTGGTGTTACAGGACTAACAGCTCTCTGACCATCCATGGATTTCTGGTCAAGATCACGAACAGTGTGGAAGAATGAAGCCTGACCCCCTGTTAGCTGGGGCAAAGAGTATTAGAGCTTAGGAGAAATCAGCACCTTTGGGTCAAGATGCTATGGGGCAAGGGGTGACTGTGCAAGCAACTGCAACAAAATGACACATCTGCTGTTTAGGCTTTACTCCTTCTTTCTCCTTCCTCTTCTTCATTACAGTGGTATCTTGGTTCTCGAACTTGAACAGCTTCTGATTGGCTGCAGGAGCTTCCTGCACTCAATCGGAAGCCACGGAATACGCACCGGCTTCGGAAAAACGTTCGCAGTCCGGAACACTCACTTCTGGGTTTGCGGCATTCAGGAGTTAATTTGTTTGGGAGCCCAGCTGTTTGAGAATCAAGGTACCACTGTACTCTCAACTTCTAGAGTGCTCATTTAGCAGTGAAAACACCTATCCCTGGTAACTATACCACTGAAAATGTATGTGCATGAGAACTTTGAAGCTATTGCTCAGGAGCCAAGGTAAAGGTAAAGGTAAAGGTAAAGGGACCCCTGACCATTAGGTCCAGTCGTGGCCGACCCTGGGGTTGCGGTGCTCATCTCGCTTTATTGGCCGAGGGAGCTGGCGTACAGCTTCCGGGTCATGTGGCCAGCATGACTAAGCCGCTTCTGGCAAACCAGAGCAGCACACAGAAACGCTGTTTACCTTCCCGCCGGAGCGGTACCTATTTATCTACTTGCACTTTGACGTGCTTTCAAACTGCTAGGTTGGCAGGATCAGGGACAAAGCAATGGGAGCTCACCCCATCGCGGGGATTCGAACCGCCGACCTTCTGATCGGCAAGTCCTAGGCTCTGTGGTTTAACCCACAGCACCACCCGCATCCCTAGGAGCCAAGGTACTGTTCTATAAATGACATTCCTGGGGGTTTTTTTAATTAAAAATAATCTAATCAGCCATCCAGAGCTTCATTGGGAGGAAAGGGTTAAAACTACAGCTGAGCCAAAATGCCTGTTTTGGTCACCTTATAGTAATAGCGGCCTGTTTATTTATTTATTCATATTTCTTACATTTATATAACCACCTTTATCTTCCAAGAATCTCAAGGCAGGGTACTTGGTTCTCTTCCCCATTCTATCTACCCAACAGCCCTGTGAGGTAGACTAGGCTACGAGAGGGTGATCGGCCCAGTGAGCGTCATGGCTAAGTGGGCATTCAAACCCCACTCTCCCAGGTTGGATGCCTTTGGTGACCTGGGCTATGCTAGCACAGATGCTTGACCCAATAGGGATAGCATTGGTCATACCTTTTATATCTCCTACTCATTCAAACATGACATCATCATATGGTATCAAGTATTTTCATGACTGCATAAGGACATATTTTTTCTAGCCATGATCCCATATAAAGAGCAGGTTGAAAAGCACAGGCTAGCAGGAAAGTTCAGAGACATCATGGGTGCTCAGAGCCAGAATCTAATTATTAGATGAGGTGGACTTCCAAGTACATCTCCTCATTTGGGTGGGCTTCTTTGACAAACAGGCGCTGCAAGCAGCTTCGGGGCTCTTCCTTGACACAAATCTTGAATCTCATTGGAATGCAATCCTCATAGACCACAACACTTTTTTCTACCTCTGCAGTCCAACCAGCTTTCCGTCTCCACTAGCATCCCCTCTCTCTAAGGATGTGCATGTGGGAGATGAAAGCAACAGCTATCAGGCTGCACATCTGTCAGATCCTGGCCTGTGAGACGGAAACAGTAATAGAGTGTCCCACTTCTACTCTTATCTCCCTAGTGCTTGGCTCCAGGCACTTGGTAACAGTCATATTTTTAACTGGCTTCTGACTGTGAGATAGTTTTGCCTCCTTTCTGCATTGGGTGTGGCTACCGATAGCTTGGTGGTATCATTTTGGCTTCATTTTTTCCTTAAAACTCCTCCTTGCCTTACAGTAGAACAAACCCAGACATCCCCTTACACTGCTTTATCCTGTCATTGATTGTTTGGAGCACACATTGGTTTCAATGACCAAAAACACCGTAGACTAAAAAAAATATTAAGTATTTGGATGTGTGTTTCAGTATATGTTTCCTCAATTCAATGTGTGTGTGTGTGTGTGTGTGTGTGTGTGTGTGTGTGTGTGGTCTATAGCTATTTCTCTATAATTCTATTTAGGCCATGCCTTTGGTTGCTGTCTAACTCTGTGTTGCACATTAAGAATAGAATGAATTCACTTTTTAGAGGATTGATTTGCAGTGTGTTTTCTATAATCTTCCAAACCGCTGATTGACAAATATAGTAAATAAATAACAACGCCAAGTGCCACAGAAATGCAGGCGTCAAGATTGGCCATAGATAATTCTTTCAGTTACACTATCTGGATTTTGTAAGACAAATTCTAATGAACCGTGAATATCATATGTTGAGTCTTTTCAAATGCTGTCATTGAAAATGATTTCAAATCATAGGCAGTATTAGCTGTCAGGATACACGGACACACACACACACACACACACACACACACACACACAAACGTATTCTACATAAATCAGAAGGGACCTCATGAATTAACAGTAATGCCTATCTAGGCAGCTGTTTTGTCTGTGTGACTAATGTTTAGATTGCTTCCCTATGCTTTTGCCCTTTTTTCTATAGTAAACTGAAATGTAAGTGCTTTCTGCAGGGATAAATGAGTTCATTCATCAGCAGAAAGCAAGAGGGGAATAATAGCTGCTTGAAAATAATAATCAATAACTTATTTACTGTAGTGTTCCTTCACAATGAAATGGATAATTTTAACAAAAAAAAAACCCCTCCACTTTTCTGTACTGTATAACATGTCAACCAGGCTTCCTCTGTCACTGTTATCATATTTAAATAGTTTTCTTACTTATCTAAGGGAACATTTTCAAGATCACTTAGCATGAATTAGCTACTGTTGAACCCTTTAAATATCCTGTCATTTCCACAATCATGATGGCAAACTGGTGGGTGTTATTTTTCCTTTTGATGTTTGTTAATGGCTGAAGGAGGGTTTTTAACCTATGTTGCCACACTGGGATCATTCAAGAGGAAGGGCAAGATACAAGTCGACATCATAGTAAGAAAAGCAAAAACAACAAACCTGAGGGTGTGGTGATTATTTCAATTAACTAATGCAGATTAGAAGGATGCATCCTTGTACATAAAATTGTCCATATATATATTGTGTGTCTGCTAGCCATTCATATAAATAAGCCTGTATAAGATGCATGTGTACTCAAACTCTCTTTGACTTGCCATAGACAGAAATTGAAGTAGCATGAATGAAATTAAAAGTTGACCATGGGTGCTCAGATGGTGGGAACTGGCTGTAGCTCAGTGGCATAACTCATGAGTTGCATGCAAAAATCCCAAGGTTCAATTTCTGGTAATTTCCCAGGTAGAGCTGGGGAAGATTCAAGTCTGATACCAGCCACTGCCAGTTAGCATAGTTAATACCAAGACAGATCAGTGATTTTATTCAGTACAAGGTGGTTTTCTGTCCCTATTAAACCAGTGCAATGGCACATATTGCGGCATATTTCTAGCAGAGGGATCTTTATACTTCATTTTGTGGATGCCACTGCAGAGTTCCATCAGATCAGGCTAAAATAAAAAGAGGCAATGGAAGACGGCTCAGGAGCGCAAGGACTGCCTCTTTCAATGTGAACCTACAGAGGGGATTGCAGAGGTGTTTAGGCTAGTCCTGCCTACTGCCACTCCCATTGACCACTCCCATGTTCCCTTGCCGGATGTCTATTTGATATTCATTTGGAAAAGATGTCTCCACACGTACAGATGTATGCATAGAAAACTCCTACTTGAGAGAAGGGATCCTGATTGGCTAGAATTGTCACCTGATGTGTAGGAATGATCCATGCACATCTCTGTTTGCATGGAGAACACTTTCTGATGAATATCAAATGCATGTTTATCAGGGCAGCAGCATGGCAGTGGTGCATGCAGGACTTTTTTGCAGGTGGACACCATTACCATTACAAGAGAACAAGGTGAGTTTTGGCACCTTTTTTCTAGAAAGATAGCACTGGGTGCGTGGTGGCAGCAGTAGCTGGCAAGGCTAGGGGAAAATGGCTAACATGATGGGAGATATGGATGATCAGATCTTCTGAGGTCTTTAACCTTTCATCAGATCATGTCCACAGCATTGAGTCACATCAAGGCCACAGCAATGGGGAAAGGAGCCAAGCCTATCTCTGGGTGCCACTTTCCTGATCTAAACTGCCCACCCCACCCCAATTATATTTGCCCCACAAGAGAACACTATAAATACAGGACATGCAACTTGACCCCTTCTGCTGCAATGACCCAGAGACGCAGGCATGGCACATAAAAGTCTTCTTACAGGGAAACTTGTATATTTTGTTCATTATGGTAGATGCTTCCTGACTGCGCTTCATTTGCTGTTGAAATTCTAGTCCCATAAAGTGGCTGTCCTACTACCTTGGCAATAAATCTTACTTTGGGGAAAGGTCTGGGGAAACTGTTATTGTTAAAAAATAATGCTCTCTCCAAGATCTAGTTAATTTGGGTTTTGGCCATAATGGCGTAACTAATGATTTACTGTATTGCATCTTACTCTAAATTTACCTGAAATATGTCCTTATTATCAGTAAAATACCCCACAAGCATCGACAGAGAGCCCAATCAAACCTGAAATAATGAGGAGGCTCAAATTAAGCAGGCGATTTAAATTGAAACAGAACGAAGGAAATTGAAATGCTACAGATAGCCACATGTGATCTGACCTTCTGCTGCCCAGCACTACGTGTTCTGACTGCATTTCTCGGCAAAACTAAAATCAACACCTCCATTTGGTGCCTATCAAAGTAATTCTGCTAAGGACTGGTAGCTCCCCTGCCTTTTTCCTTTTACACATTATGGGTTTACTAAGCATGTCCTCTACCCAAGGTAAGAACGAAGGGATGATAGATGGCGTGACATTTTCATTATATGACAAGCATGTGAAAAGCTAAGTAACCATCTGAAAGGTTGCAATTTTCTCTATTTTCAGTAAGATTTTGCAAGACCTCTCTCAGAAGGAAAAGGTTTACTGCTATGCTTCTTTCTGTCTGGGAAAGATCAGAATCTGTATACACCATTTTATCTGTATGCCACCTTTCCATAGTTAAAAACCATGCTCAAGGCAGCTTACAACACGAAAAGAAACACACATAATTACAAAAGTAGTCATGGACAATAAATTAAGCATAAAGAAGTATACAACCAAATTGAAACAATCCTTAGTCATTCAGGCTCAGTGGCGGACCTACATTTTGGGGACCCTGCAGCTGGAACTGATATGGGGGCAGTTTTGCAACCAGCAACAAGGTAGGGGTAACCACTCTTATCATCTTCAATAGGGTTGTTCCATGACAGAACTCCACATTTATTTATTTTTAAATAGCTCCTACATCTCAGATCTTGATTAAAATAGCTGTTCTCAATTATCTCACATGTCAAAGTCACTGGTGTGAACAAAAAAACCCCTATCCCTAGTTTTTGAGTTATAGGGGGATGAAAATTAGGGAAATGCATGATACATTTTTAAAGCAAAATTTGGAAGCAAGGTGGACTAAAGTCACTTCTGGGACCCTTCTGGGCCCTGAAACTTAAGTTTAATTGGTTTCATAGCACTATTTGACTTCAAAATCCTAACTGCATACAGTGGCTTCATATAGATGTTAAAAATCAGTGAAGACAAGATTGCACCCTGTGGTGCACTATATCACAAATATCATGGAGCCAAAACACAAATTCCCAATGCACATGACCCTGTAAGTAGGAGTGGAACCACTGTAAAAGAATGCGCTCCCCAGTACCCATCTCACAGAGCTGTTGAGGAGGATACCACAGTAAATGTTACCCAAAGCTGCTGAGAGATTGAGAAGCAGAGTCACACTCACCCAGTCACTCTCTCAGTACCAGTCATCACGGTGATTCAGTCCCAAAACCACACCCAAAGATTAGTACCCTTCAGGAACACCTGCAATTGTTTGGCTCCCACCCTCTCAAACCACCTTATGGAACTGGGCACTAGTTCTTATAGTGTCCAGGGTGGGCTTCCTCACGGGTGGGCAGCAGGCACCAATCCATTGTGTAAAGACACATTCGCCACACTCTGGACCTGTTTGGCGAAGACCTCCTAAGTGGCTTCCACCAGTTGTGACATGATGCATCCAGATGTTCATGGCTCTGCTGTACTTCAGAATTGTGTCCAAGTGAAGGATGCAGTTCTTGGGTCCAAGCCACAGAGAGTCATTGAAAATCACTCCAGGGCATGGCAAGAAGAAAGGTGTGTTGTTTTTATACTATGGTTTCACATACTGAGCTAACAGAATTAGTAGTTGTGAGGAGACACGAGTGGAAGTGTGTACAGGAAGGCTTGCTGTGTGACTGACATCAACTAACCTTGAAGGCTAAAGATAATAGGATGATGTAGCATGTCAGACCCAGAACCAACACAGTAAAGAGGGAACTAATTACAAGGCATGTGGGGAATTTACTTAACACCAGGTATAGAAAAAGAAAAAATGTGAGGGGTTCTGCAACATATAACACTGGATGGGTGTGGCTGCCCTGAAGAGTCCCGGACTTTCTCCTGGAGGAGTGAATTGTCCAGAACTTCCCAATGAATGACAGAGGGTTTATAGGTTCTGGGCTTACATTGAACCTAAACAAAAACCCATACTAGATGGAAAACAGTGAATAATCACACAGTTGTGACAAGAATCTCATGCCTACCACAAAAAACAGTGGCCTCAACTCCGTTCCTTTCCTTCTACCCTGTAAAATCTGGTAGATGAAAATGCAAGCGTGGTGTGACATCAATGTGCTCTGAGTTTCCATGCATCTGTTCCACTTCATTGGCTACAACTCATTTATTTCAACATATAGAACAATGTAGGCAATAAATTATTTGATAACTAATATGATACAATAAAACATTTACTAGCAACCACCAACATAAATGATAGCAGATAAAAAAAGGGCAAGGCAGACTGAGGGATTATATAAATTAAAATACCTGGTTAAATAAAAGCACCAAACCCTGTCACTGAAAAGACTGTAAAGTTGGTGCCAAACTTACCCTTTAGCAAGCGTGTCTCAAAGTTGAGGTGCCACCACTGAGAAACCCCTTTCCTCATTTTTTCATATGTGGTGGGATTGCCAAATTGGTAAGAAGTATTGGGAAAGGCTGAAGAAGTAACCTTAATTTTTGCATAGCCACCTTGGCTTCTGCTGCCATAATGATCATTTAACACCTAGGCTTGTGTACGTCTAGGTGGGTGTGCTCAAAAGATATCTAGCTCTCTTCTAGGACATTTCCACCATTCTTCACTTTCGCAGTCTTCCAAATCACCAAGCAGTATCATGATGCGACAGTGGCTTTTGGTTTGTCACATATTATTGCCGGGATTCTAACAGAAGTATAATTCATTGAATTCAAATGCAGAAGGACAAAAGTAAATTTTTAAAAAACAACAACCCAACTTGCGGCCCCCTTCCCTGTCCTGTGCACAAAGTGGCTGACAAAATGGTTCAACTATTTCGAAAGCAAAATTAACTGCATTATGTAACAATTTTTTTAAAAAGTGGCTCTGAATGAATAATGTTGGGCTATAGGCCAATGCATACAACATCAGGTTATGTGACCAGTGCAGCATTTCTTGCTATAAGATTTTTATTTGCCATCTTCCTACAAACTCGCCATTTACGAGGAAGTATCTCAGCATCCTTACTGACGTTTTATGACTTCCTTTGGATATAATTTTGTTAGCTAAAATTTAATGAGGTACCACCTGCTGAAAGTAAGGCTTCATCATTCATTAAGAAAGTTGCGTGCTTTTCAAAACTTTGCTAAATCAACCTCCAAAGATTCTTTTCCCCCAGTATTTATTTCTAGTGCTGCAAATAAAAGCAAGCAAACATAGGATCCTTCCTTGGACCACATGAGGCCACTGAGCCCAGTGGCGTCGCAACGGGGGGTTCGCCCCGGGTTCCACGCCTGTGGGGGTGACAAGAAGTCACCCCGCAAGGGCTCGCGGAGGCGCGAGGAGCCATTGCGCTGCTGCAGCCGCATGTGGAGGATCCTCTGTTCATGGCTGCAGCCGCAAGCAGAGGATCCCGGCGCCGGTGGCAAACCACTAAGTACAGCGCATGTGCGGCATCGCACGCATGCGCTATACATAGCAATGCCGCACATGCGCTTGTTAGGATATAGTTCCATTCCTCCTTAAAAGGGAGCAGGCATGACTATTGGATGTCACATGCCTGTTTACTTCCAGCACTTGCTGGGAACTTCCATTTGTATATAGCTTTTGTGTTTCTGCTCTTATGCTGGAGACGAAGGGAAGCAGACATGTTTTCCTCTGTTCCTGAACTATGCTGAATAAAATGCTGTAAATATGCTTACACATTCTCTGTCCGCCTCTTTTGCTGTGAGAAGATTTACGCACTCTGCTGATAGAGCGTGCATGGGTCTCTAAACGTATCTGAGGCTCGTGTCGCTAATTGATGCTGTTCCAAGGGAGACCGGCTCCCGGCCGGCGGCTGGAGCCAGCTGGGGGCCTGCCTGATGCCTACCTGATGCCCCCATCTTCCCAGCAGTATCCCAACAGTGCTGTTTGCTGCCGGTGGCGCTCCAGCACCATACGGACGGTGCCGGGATCCCTCTGTCGCCACTACTGCCGTGAACGGAGCATCCTCTGTTTGCGGTACAGCCGCAAGCAGAGGATCCTGGCACTGTCCATACGGTGCTGGAGCGGTGCTGGAGGCAAACTGCTATGTACAGAGCATGTGCGGCGTCGCTACGTATGGCACATGCGCCCTACGTATGGCAAATGCACCCTATGTAGTGACGCCCACCCCAGGTGTCACAACGCCTTCCTTCGCCCCTGACTGAGCCTGCCAGCTCAGCACTCTTTTCATTGACCACCAGTGGCTCTTGAGGGTTTTGGACAGGAGTCTGATCCAGCTGTACCTGGAGATTCCTGGGAACTGAAACCTAGGCATTGGGTAAGCCTTAGTCTTGGCTGGAGGGGAGGCCTCCACCTGCCCCTCCTTGGTTAAGGGTATCCCATTAAAAGGATCTCTGAGGAGTTGCCCCAGACACTCTGGGCTGCTCACAACATTTATTTTTTTAAAGCACACAATAAAACATCAATCATTAAAAACTTCCCTTCAGATATCTTCTACAAGTCAAATAGTTATTTATCTGTTTGACATCTGATGGGAGGGCATTCCACAGGGCGGGCGCCACTACCGAGAAGGCCCTTTGCTTGGTTCCCTGTAGCTTCACGTCTCACGGTGAGGGAAGTCTCAGAAGGCCCTCAGAGCTGAACCTCAGTTTCCAAATGGACAATGAAGGTGGAGGTATATGCATGTGATATGCATGCAATATTATATACATTACAATGCCTATATGTGGGAAGTGTTCATAATTTTAACAGAAGCAGCTGAGATAAGAAAGCAAGACGGAAATGAGAAGGGGGGAAATTGTGCACAAATTCTGTCTCTAGATATGCCTCTCTATACCTGTGCCTCATTTTTCTTCTTTCAGTCCCAACGGACCCATTCAGAGACAAGAGATGATGCAACACTTTGTTCTTTGTCAGTATACAGAAAAGCCCATCCAGTAATAAAGATGTACACTTAGCTTTCACAGAGGAATCCCTATTTCAAAAACAGCGACTTGCAGGTGGGAACTGAGGTTATTTTCGAAGAGCCAATGCAATCATAAAATGAAATAGTGCAGAAATCTGGTGACCGGGTTTGTGTGTGTGTTTTGGAACGAAGTCACTGTCCTGTGTAATTTACAAGAGGAAATAAATCACTGAGACAGAAAACATATGCAATGGCTAAACATGGGGAACTTGTCACATCAGTTCAGTGTCAATCTGCTTCTATCTAGTTAAAGCAGACTGCTTGCATTTTCGGATGCACCCGTCCACATGCTCTTTTTCTTCCTTTTTTGGAATAAGGATTTTAACCCATTTTTAAGACTCTGCCCCTTGCCCCAGATCCACAACGTTTTTAGTACAGAAACAACAAGGGTGGCTGGTACCCACTGAGCTTCATAAGGCAGAAGGCAGGCTACTCAAAGGTAGCTTGAGCCAGAACCAATGACAAGCAGAGCCAATTAAATCCAGTTTTGCTTCTGCTGAGTTCTATTATGGCAACAGTGAGACTAAGCAGGAGCGAACTGACCGGCAGTGCCACCCCCTGGACTGAAGGCAGGTATTGGTTGGTGGGGCAGTGGCCCTTCATCAGCCAGCCTCCACTGAGAAACAAGACTTGAGGTGTGAAGGGCAGGGTGGGGGCACCCATTTCCCTCCCAATTTCTCCCACCTCATTTTTTTCAGGGACCCGCCCCCCAAATACCGTATTTTTCGCTCTATTGGACGCATCGGACCATAGGATGCACTGGACCATAGGAGGGGGAGAACAGGAAAAAAAAATTTTTTCTTGTTCTCCCCCTCTAAAACAAGGTGCGTTCTGTGCGTTCAAGGTGCGTTCACCCGAAGCCTCCGGAGCCCAGCGGGAGTTCTTTCCCCCACCTTTCCCCCACCGCCAGCCTCCATACCAGGACGGGGAACAGCGGGAAGGCGGTGCTCCGCCTCCCCGCTGTCCCCCGAGCTTGTGGGGCTGGCAGTGGGGGAAAGCAGCTCTTCTGGCAAACTCTCATTTATGCCTCCTCCCTCTTTATCCTGCAACATTCAGTCTTCATAAACTCTGCAGTTCTCTTAGCTCTCTTCCGAGCAGGCAAGGTTTGACACATGTTCCAGTGGCTTGGAGTCATCAAAAAAACCTGTTTGCATCATTAGGTGTCGGGACATGAGCAAATATTTCAGGGCACTTTTTGCCAGAGGCAATATGCATATTCAGTCGTGGATCTTAAATTGGTAAATACTAAGTCATGAGACATTTAATGATGTGCATGCATGTGCAAATCTCTCTCGAGATGCTACCCAGTCAATCTGGTGACTATGTTCTCCCAAAACTTGCTCCCGTTTCAGCAGAGAGAACACAGTAACTGTGTCTCTTGAACAGCCTCCTACTCCCAGTTGACTTGCTTATGATTTTAGCACTTCAATGCACTGAGATAAATAAATAAGCCATTTTCATTTTGCTTTTTTCCCTTCATTGAAATGCCTCCTGAGCAGCTCAGTGTTGCAAACCAATATCTCAGCAGTCAGAAAACTTAATTAAAATTTCATAAAATAACTATAATTATCCTAGCTTAGTAATAAGAAACCTCAGTTATCACACAAATTACTCCTTTGGTTTGTCAAACAAGCACTTTATTTGGGTAACTAAATATACCGAGTTTCCTCTCTTTTTGTCTTGCAGGGGGCTACTGTGTACTTTTAGCTGACACTCAATGTTAGAGCTTGCATTCCTTGTCTATACAAGGCTAATATTTCTTTGCTGAATGTGCACTGTATTGACATTAGGCTGATTTATCCCCGAAAGCGTGCATGGGTGAATTTCATTTTTAAGCTGGCTCCCCAAAGCATTTATTTATCTTGCAATGTTGCGAAGTGCACTACCAGTCCATTTAAACGGAGTATATTAGGTGACTATCCTTTCGGCAATAATTTACAAGCTTCTCCTACCATTTTAAAGCTATGTTGAGTCTCTGCTGTCAGTAGCAATGCCCCTGAAACCGACTGAGGACAGGAGGAGTAAAAATCCACAAAAGGGCAGGTTGTTACTTCCGCTGAATTCACACATCATCAACATCCTTAAAATACTGTCCCTGCAGCCCAGGAGTTCTTGAAGCTGAATAATTTAAACGCGCAGTTCTAGATTCAGAATGGGTTTATAAAATGACAGCAAAGAACAATGCTTTTTTTTTTTACAAGCATGAAACAGATCCAAAATACTATGTGTGCCATTTTCAATCAATCAATCAATCAATCAATCAATCAATCAATTTAAAGACCTGTTAACCTTATGGCTCTTCAATATTGTATACTATGCGTCTGCTCTCTATCACACATGTATGTAAGCACCTAAAAGAAAACAAATCTGCTCATTTCATTAACTGCAAATAATATATTGGGCCTGTCTTGCTTCACTAACATTAGAAGGTCATAAAAAGGTTGTGCTTATTGATTGTAACCTTTTAGTCCTCTGAAGCAGGGTTTTCTTGAAAGCTTTGGTTTTGCATGATATGCTTTGATAATTATCCGTATTACAGGAACAATGCTAAAAGGTTGAATTGTACATTTGAATTGTATTTGTTCATTGACAGGGATTTGATGGAATTTTATTTACACAACCTTTCAGATATATTGCACTTTTGTATATAATAAAATAAAGAAGTATTGTTTATGAAAGTTCATGCAATAGTAAGAGATTATTTTAAGGTGCCACAAAACTCTTTGGTTCCGATCACACAAATCTTGCATGTCACAACATGCGTATCTGTCCATGAGTATATGCACATGCCGAATATGCGCGTGCATATGGTTATGGTCATTGACATTACCCATCGCCATTAGCAAGCGAAAGGGAAATTGGAGACTTGTGAAACAAGCAAGCAATGGAAAAATCTGACACCACCAATCATCTGTTTGATAGTGCACATGTAGTCTTAACACAGCGAGTTCCAATGAGGTGCAAAGATGCACACAGTAAGCTTTTACATGCATGGTGGCTAATGCAACAGAGGATCTGTGCCCAAGAGACTACTCTGCATGGATCCTTGCAGGATTGTATAATAATTTTGGTACCATATGGAAGTTGCATATGGATGCTCTACAACAGATATCCCATCTATGGATTCTAATAGATCATGGGTTTCCAACAAGATGCTCACGGGCGCACAGAGCTCTTTCTTGGCACTCACAGGGTTCCACACACACACACTCCTTGACTGAAATTAGGCTTGAAAAAGGTCTTCTTTAGTCAACAGGCAGCCTTGTTAAAACCTAACTCTGGCACAATCGTGATTTCAACGAGAGAAGGGAGAGCCGCAACACTCAAGTGGAGCTCAAACCAGTTTCCCTGGTTTGCAAATGTGCCTGTGCGCCCAAAAAGGTTGGCGACAGGCTGGAGGAAGGGGGGTGCAGTGGGGGCAGGCCCCATGGGTGTCACCACTGAAGGGGGCGACAAAATGCCGGGCGGCACTCACCACGGGGCCTGCAGCGTGCCCGAACCACGCGTCTCTCCTGGAAGTGACGCGGTGGCTTGGGCCCCCAATGGTCCGCCCACCGCCTCCCCTTCAGCTGTAGGGCAGTTGAGTGGGCAGGCAGACTCCTCGGAAGCCCTGTGGAGTGTCCTGCCCCAGCTTGCCCTGCCCCACAGGTGGCTGGCCCCACCCTTGAGTGTAGGGCACACGTGCTGCCCCAGGTGCCCGATTGGCTTACTCCACTTCAGGTTGTAAAAGTAAAGGTAAGGGGGCTCTTGACCATTAGGTCCAGTCGTGGCACTCATCTGGCTTTATTGGCCGAGGGAGCCAGCGTACAGCTTCTGGGTCATGTGGCCAGCATGACTAAGCCACTTCTGGCGAACCAGAGCAGCGCATGGAAACACCGTTTACTTTCCCGCCGGAGCGGTAGCTATTTATCTACTTGCACTTTGCCGTGCTTTTGAACTGCTAGGTTAGCAGGAGCAGGGACTGAGCAACGGGAGCCCACCCCCTTGCGGGGAATTCAAACCGCCGACCTTCTGATCAGCAAGACCTAGGCTCTGTGGTTTAACCCACAGCGCCACCCTTGAAATAGATGCTCAGATTCAATATAAGAGCAGCTTTGAAGGCTCAGCAGTACCTGGGAACAGGAAGAGTAAGTGCCTTGCATTTCCTGCTTTTACTCTGTTCCATACAGCAAATTTCACAACTTTCCCCTTGGAAAGTTGAGCTCCCTGAACTGGGAGTTGCTGCATCTCTCTAACAGGGTGAGATGTAAATGTGTTTAACATCTGGCGTGGAAGTCTGTAACAATCTGGGTGTGGGAACGCGCTTACTTTGGAATATCTGAAGCTGCTTCTTAACAGGTAGGCTGCTATACAATTCTCACATATGGTAAACACAAGGGGAAAGGCTGTGTGTGTTACCCAAGTAGGAAATGCTGAGTGATACCACCATAGCCATTAAGTGTTAAAAATACTGTCTTAAATTGCAATATTATAAAAGGTTTAAAAACTGAGTTTCGTTTTATTTGGCCCTTCACTTCACACAGCAATTCAGAAGGTCTGCTCTGTAGCAATTATGCTGGGAATCATTTTTATTTAAAAAGAAAATTATCTCTCTCAAGATCGTAGCAAGCACATAGTTCGTTTTCTCTTTCCGCTTTCAACCTTTTCCACTTCCACAGGACATTTTAATCCAGACTTTGAGAACCTATGTTTGACACCCGCATTATGTGAATGCATGAATTTTAGGCAGCAGTGATCACAGTGATTAAGAAGAAGCTATACTTTAATGGTACTTTGAAAACGGCACACATTCTTCATAATATATTGAAGGGTTTTCATAGATTCATAACACAGAACAAAATTAAAAGGTATCACTTGCTTTTCATACAATGTCACCCAAGATTTCAGACTGTACATTTTATGTTCCTACTTATTAAATAGATAAATAAAGACATAAATTAGATACCCTGCTTTTATGTCCCTTCTCACTACATGAATATGGGAAGATAAGTACAGGGGAGTTCAAACACACACATTTGTTTGAAACAGTTATGCTAACAAAAATTATATGTCTATGGTGAGTTCTCCATTCCTCCCACAGTAATGTACAAGAGAACTGCTTGCATAATTATTTAGTTGATTATCCTTTTGAATGTTGATCTACTGTAAAAGAGTATTTCACTGGGATGAACAGAAATACACTTATACACACTTACCTGAGAGTGTGTCCTATTGAACTCAATGGAACTTATTTCCAAGTAGATATACATAGGGTTGCACTGAAAGATTGGCATGGGATGCCACCATAAGTTATCCACCATCGTATATCAATATACCATGCTCCATTGCAATGCTTACATCATATGAAGAATCTACATGTCTGGTCCAGCAAGAGCACATGATGGGAGCATAGAAACTTGGGTTAATGTGGTGACAATCTGCAGTGTAAGTAAGTACAACGGGGGCATTCCACTTCTCCCTATCCCAGGCACATCCCACACCGTCCCCAAATCTGCTCCAGAGGGTTGGGGGGAAACAGATGTAAGGGGCATGATGGGGAAGGAGAGGGAGCAAATGTTCCATTGCATAAGGACCATCTTGATTGTGAGTCCTAGAGGACCTGCTCCCTGCCTTGCAGGCCTTTTTCCACCTAGCCTGGGAGGACAGGGACTTGACTGACTCCAGCTGCAAAAGCTGAGACTGCTGAACAGAATATTGGGCTGGGGAGTTTAAGGAGTTTTTTTTTTAAGAGGGGGGATTTGTTGCTGTCATTTAACTTTATTTATTTTGGATCTTCTTATTTATGTGGAAATCGTTCACTTTTGATATTTATTTGTTGTTTATGACTTCTTTCATTACGTTTGTAGTTAGGTAAATTTTAAATGTTGTAAGCTGCCTTGAGCATGATTATAACTTTAGAAAGGCAGCATACGAATAAAATGATTAATTTCTTCTTGTGCTGATAGAATGTTTGCCAAAGTGCTACAATGAATTCCACCTTCACCAATGAATTTTAATTGGTGTTTGCTTGTAAACGAAATACTGACTTTTACACAGAATTTCAATATCAGCCTCCTATCAATATCGAAATATTCGTAACACCATAAAGTAGTCATAAGTGACATCATCACTTAAGAAAACAAAATAATGATAAACATTGATTTTCTTACAGAAGAGTTATTCCAGGCAGCCATTTCCAGAAAGCTATTGCCCCAGATCCATTTAGATGGGTAAGCAATTTGTTGAGCGTATTTAGACCTTTTGAGACATGTGTATAATCTACACTTTTCGTTTGTGTGGAACCTGCTGATTAGAATTCCTCAGAATGAAGTCAATATTTGTACAATAAAGATGAAGTTGACTTTTAATTTAAAACAGGAACCGGGTCTGTCATGCGTTCTACCTTGAAATGACTAATTCTCCCTATAGGAATCTATCAGCATCTTCCAAAGCCTAAGGCTACTCTCTTTCAAAGAACACAGCGATGTAAAAATGCTGATGGAAATTAGAAGGGAGAACATGATATATGGGCTGATTCAACTGAAACACTTTTCCCATGTAAGAATACAGGTGGAAAAAAGAGAAGATGGAAAATTCCCATTGATATTGCATAAAAGGCTAGCATACAGGGACATCTTCTAACTTCTAACATCTGGAAGACATTCTAACAGATCATTAGTTGTTTTCTCCAGGAACATACATACCCCTCAAACCACGGGGGCAATTGCAAATGAAATCTACCTATGTCTGCCTGAGTCTTCAGTTTAAAGGACACAGATAGAAACTTGCTAAGATGCATGTACATTAGGTGAGTGCTATAGTATGACATAGGGACGCGGGTGGCGCTGTGGGTTAAACCACAGAGCCTAGGAGTTGCCGATCAGAAGGTCGGCGGTTCAAATCCCTGTGATGGGGTAAGTTCCCGTTGCTCGGTCCCTGCTCCTAACAACCTAGCAGTTCGAAAGCACGTCAAAGTGCAAGTAGATAAATAGGTACCGCTCCGGAGGGGAAGGTAAACGGCGTTTCTGTGCGCTGCTCTGGTTCGCCAGAAGTGGCTTAGTCATGCTGGCCACATGACCCGGAAGCTGTACGCTGGCTCCCTCAGCCAATAAAGCGAGATGAGCGCCGCAACCCCAGAGTCGGCCATGACTGGACCTAATGGTCAGGGGTCCCTTTACCTTTATAGTATGACATTATATAGGGGGAACCAGTGGAGGCACGACTTTTTTATTATTACAAAAGCCCCCTTTTAAATCGTGAAATAACTTAAGAACAAAGAGCCAGCCTAGCATAGTCGGAAGAATGCATGATCTAGAAGTAGCAAACTGAGGTTCGAATCCCAGCTCAGCCTGCTCTCTGCTGATCAAACTATATCATGGAGTTGTTGCAAGCTTGAAAAGCTGCTCTTTGGTCATGCTTGAAGCAGACTGGGATAAGAATGTCATAAAGAAACAAACAACATGTTACTCACACTGAGAAATGTCTTGGTACAGAGAGAAGTCACTACATTCTGCTCCCACTGAGAACAGAAGTTAATCTAGCCCATGCAATCGATGGGGCTTTAATTAAGCCTTCTAGTCATTCCTATACAGTGGTACCTCGGGTTAAGAATTTACCAGTGGTACCTCTGGTTACGTACTTAATTCGTTCCGGAGGTCTGTTCTTAACCTGAAACTGTTCTTAACCTGAAGCACCACTTTAGCTAATGGGGCCTCCTGCTGCCGCCGGGCGATTTCTGTTCTCATCCTGAGGCAAAGTTCTTAACCCAAGGTACTATTTCTGGGTTAGTGGAGTCTGTAACCTGAATCGTATGTAACCTGAATAATCTGTAACCCGAGGTACCACAGTAATTTCTTCATTATCACTGTTGGTTGGGGACTGTCCATAAGGTATAGCATGCATCATCTGGGGGGGGGGGGAGAGGTTAATCAATGAAGACTAGAGCATTTGATAAAGTGGTGTGAGAACTGGGTGGGGTGAGTGGGGTGCTGAACCACTTAAACATAATTGGATGGCAGGTTTGGCCATGCTCCCCCTAAGTGCTGATCGGTGCTTCTCCTGAGTGGTGGTTGTTGAGTAAGTGTTCTTTGTGTGTGTATGCGCACACTTGCTGGACTGTTTGATGGATGGCGATAGTAGCTGGTTAATTAGAATTATTTCCTGTTCCCCACCCACCTGCCCACCAATCACATGCTTGGTGGCTCCAGCCCAATGTCACACCCATCTTCGTCTTCTGCAAGTGGCTTTGACTGTGAGGTGTTTTGGAGTGTGTGTGTGTGTGTGTGTGTGTTATAAGTCACCCATTGTGTATCGAGGCCCCATCACCGCCCTGTTCCCTAAGGTGCAAATAACTAGACAACACACAGCATATTGGTTTGGGATCAAATAAGGCTGCAGCTTCATTGGTTACTGATGTGAAGGTTTGGCCATAGGCATTGTGGTATGCAACTGCGCATGTCACACCTACCCATCTACTGGGAGGGTTACTAAGGGTGAAGGCAATGGGGAGGATACCCTATGATCTACGTCAAATTGGGGTGTCCCCCAAGTGGTCCCTGTTGGAGGAATGGTATGGTCCTATCTCCTGTCTAGACATCAGACAGGAGCCACTCCTCCCAGATCCTTTTAACAGGATACCTTTACCCGTGGAAGGGCAGGCGAAGGCTACAACCCTGCCTCCAACCAAGACTAGGCTTACCCAATGCCTATCCGCCAACTGAGGCCTTCACTTATTGTCCAACCTACTCTTCTTCTGTTACTTCTCCAAAGAGAGCCTGTTGAAAAGTTGGGAAGGGGAGGCTGTTAACTGCTCTTGCTCCATTGCCAAGGCTGCAATCCTAACCTCACCTTCTAAGAAGCAAGCACTATTCTACAGAACGTGATCCTCAGTTGACATGGTTAGGATGGCACTGTAAGCTGGTAAGTTGCCAAATTAAAAACTGTTGTGTTCTTTAAAAGCTAAAGCTGTAAAAAAAAATAAAAAATGACGAGGTTGAACTTTTTGTGAACTAATCCATTAATTTGGGTGGACTGAAACTAGTTTGTTTTGTAAAAGGACACATCTGAACTGGAACAACATCCTTTGGGGACATGATGCGCTTGAACCAGTTTCTTTTAAAAATGAACGTTCCAAGCAGTATTCTGAGAATAAGACAGATAATCAGCTTGAACCAACTTGACACAATATCACCTTTCAGGGTGTTCAGTGCCTGCAAAAAATAAATAAACACCCTCAAAAATCTACCCTCAATTGCATCAATATTGTGGTAATGATATGATCCACTTTTACCAACTGGAATGTTTGAACTCTGCTTTTCTTCTGAAGGTCAGACTTTTGGCTTTCTAGAAATTCAGATGTGGACCTCCCATGTACGTTCATGATCTGCCAGTGACTCAGAGACTTTTTGTAGTGATTGCAATCTGTCAGAGCCTGTTTGGCAGCTGAGGCTGCTTCAGCAGAGGCAAATACTTTTTTTTCCTTTTTACAAAAAGAGAAACATACCCAAATGCTAGGATTTTATCATTTCAATGAATCAGATCATTAAATTTGAGTTATAGCCCATAAGAGTCTCAGGGAACAAAATGATGAAACGTTGGCTCCTTGCCAAAGCATTAAAACTCTTTGGGTTTATTTTTGTCTGTGAAAGTCAATGTACTCTTTATACAGCCGCTTTCCCAGGTGCAATGAAAATGCAAATTGAAAACTTTGAGGCACTATTGTTAAGTGATTCTCACACTCTTTGATGGGGAAACATGCAAAAACACCCTTTTCTTAATAGAATTTATGTTGGAATAATGCACCTACCAAACATCTGGGGGGCTGAAATGGACTAAAGTTAGGAGCAGAGAACAGCTGTGTGTGTGAAATGAATCTTTTTCACTCAATGGCTGATTATTGGCAAGGCAGGAGGGAGTGCAAGGAGGGGGGAGGAGAGAAAACAAGTACTCCCTCTTCTTAAACTGATAAACTTGTGTGAACCATATGAGGAATGAAAACCTCTTTCATAGAATCCACCAATGTCTTACTATTCTTTCAGAGAATTGTAGAGTTGCAAGGGACCCCAAGGGGCATCTAGTCCAACCACCTGTGATGCAGAAATCTCAGCTAAAGCATCCATGAGAGATGACCACCCAATCTCTGCTTAAAAACCTCCAAGGAAGTCCACAACCAAGGACTGTTCCAATGTCCAACAGTTCTTCCTGACGTTTAGTTGGAATCTCCTTTCTTGTAACTTGAATGCATTGGTTTGGGTCCTAGCCTCTGGAGCAGGAAAAAACAGCCCTCGAACTGTTTGAAGATGGCTATCATATCTCCTCTCAGTCTCCTCTTTTCCAGGCTAAACATATCCAGCTTCTTCAACTATTCCTCATATGGCTTGGCTTCTAGACCCCTGATCATTTTCATATTATGGTAGCAGATCATGGTAGTAAAGAGACTGAGCTGTGAACTCAGTCCCTGCCCATGCTACAAACTCAGCCTGAGGCAAGCCACTTTCTCAGGCTTATCCATTTACTTGTATTTTCTAATCTGCAATCCTAAATGTGTGTGTGTGTCATGGGCATAGCTGTCAACTTACAGATTTGAAAATAAGGGACCAGCAGCCTTGGAAATAAAGGGTCAGTAGCCAAAATAAAGGATTTTCCAAGCACAGGTATGTTCAAAGGCAGCCAAAGGCAGAAAGCCCAGCCAGCAGCCAAACAAAGCCTCAAGTGGTGATTCCCACAGCTCAGCAACCCAGCAAAGGGGATGCAGCAAGGAAAACCACTGTCACCTCTCCGCTGGGAAGTGCTGAGCAAAGGCGAGTCCCCAGGCAATGTGGCCGATTTGATCGGCACAATGCATGCAAGCTCCACCCCCCAGTCGTTCTTAGACTCCTTATTGGGTGAACAACGCAGCCAAGCAACACAGTTGGAGCCTCCCTCCTCCCTGGCCGGCCGGAAGGGAGGGAGAGGAGCTGCTTCCTTTGAAAACCAGGAAATTTAAGGGACATCATCAATAAGGGACAGCAGTGGGACACGGAGCTGGGATAAGGGACTTTCCCGCCAAATAAGGGACGGTTGACAGCTATGGTCATGGGAGGGAAGAAGGTGCTCAATCTTTCTCGTTCAATGTCTTGCCAGGCTCCAGCTGGCAAGGCAGAAGTAAGGGTGGTTCTTGCTCTCTCACACATCCTCATCTGAGATTCTGCCGTGGTGCCAAGGGGGGGGGGCACCTGACATCTCTGATGCCAGTGATCCCTATGCTATCCAATGCTTCCAGTGTGGCCCATTGCTGCTGTTAACTGCTGGTTCCATTGTCTTGATTGTGTCATTTTGTATCTTATTGTTGTGGTTTTATCATGCTTGTATTCTGTCATTACAATTCACCTTGGAAACATAGCTGAAATCTCTAAAATAAGCAAACATATTAGCATTATTGACTTGCCTGCCGAAAGAATGAAGCAGAACACTCCACATGCCATTTGGTTCCCCTTTATCACATACACAGCCCAACAAGACAACAAGAAGAATCCCCCGACAGCATACAAATCAATCTGCCTAACCTGATTCAAAAATGCACACCCGCACCCCGCTCACACACAAAAACGATTCTCGCAACAGCCAACCAAAGACAACCAACCACACCCTAGCCCACACCCAACCTCTCTCACCACCAAGGAAATACAAGTATTGCTGACACAACCCCTCTCACACACACTAAGTAAAAGAATAGAAGCATAACCACCTGACCCCACCCCACTCGCCATTCCCCCTCCCCCTCTCCCCTTTTTTCCTTTTTCTCTCCCCCTGCTTCTTCTTCCTAACTGTCCAGGGGTCAGCAAACTTTTTCAGCAGGGGGCTGGTCCACTGTTCCTCAGACCTTGTGGGGACCAAACTATATTTTTTGGGGGGCGAGGGGAGGGAAAATGAACAAATTCCTATGCCCACAAATAACCCAGAGATGCATTTTAAATAAAAGCATGCATTCTACTCATGTCAAAACACCAGGCAGGTCCCACAAATCACCCAGAGATGCATTTTAAATAAAAGGACACATTCTACTCATGTAAAAACACACTGATTCCTGGACCGTCTGCAGGCCAGATTTAGAAGGCAATTGGGCTGGATCCGGCCCCCAGGCCTTAATTTGCCTACTCATGGTCTAAACCAATTCATAAACCAAGAACTTATACATTGACCACTAATAATGAAACATATGCTGTAGATAATTTCCCCACATTTATTATGCTATTTTTGTGATATACAAATGACATGAGAAAACTTGGGATACTTGTTTGTATAACATTGTTCTTGTTTATAAAACATAACAACAACAACAACAACAACAACAACAACAACAATAATACCAGCAGCAGGATTCAAGAAATGACTGTGCAAGGGAACGTCTGCTAGCGCAACAAGGCTTTCCTTCCACCTCCCCTCATGCACACACCCCTCTCACAATTGACTTGGTGGTGGGAAACCCCCAGAGCAGCACATGAGAGGAGAGGGAGGTTGTTTCCTCTGGCAAGCTGAAAACCTTGTACAGTGGTGCCCCGCAAGACGAATGCCTCGCAAGACGAAAAACTCGCTAGACGAAAGGGTTTAGCGATTTTTGAGTCATTCCGCAAGACGAATTTCCCTATGGGCTTGCTTTGCAAGACAAAACGTCTTGCGAGTTCTTGCAAGTTTGTTTCCTTTTTCTTAAAGCCGCTAAGCCACTAAGCCGTTAATAGCCGCTAAGCCGTTAAGCCGTTAATAGCCACTAAGCCGTTAATAGCCGCTAAGCCATTAAGCCGTTAATAGCCGCTAAGCCGCTAAGCCGCTAATAGCCGCTAAGCCGCTAATAGCCATGCTTCGCAAGACGAAAAAAACGCAAGACGAAGAGACTCACGGAACGGATTAATTTCGTCTTGCGAGGCACCACTGTACTGTTGTAATAAATTGCCATACTGCTACATCAAGCTCCTCTCTAACCATTGCTCTTAAGCAAGAGAGACATTTCAACCCGTTGCTGTTGTGTGATGTGTTCCTTATGATGGCTAACTTGTGGTCCTTTAATCATTTCTGGACTCCATCTCCCATCATTGCTAACCATTGGCCATGCAGTCTGGGGCTGATGAGAGTTGGAGTTCAATTGCATTTCAGGGGTCTGGAGTAATAATAGTAATTATTATTATTATTATTATTATTAATACCCCGCCCTCCCCAGCCAAGGCCGGGCTCAGGGCGGCTAACAAGTAATAATAAAATCAAGTTGAATGAATACAACTTAAAAACAAAATTAAAATACAACATTAAAATATTGAAACATTAACAGATTAAAATGTAGCCTCATCGCAGGAGGAGAAAGGAAAGGAAAGTAGATGACCCTTTCAGCTCTACAATTCTATGAGTCTATGGACACCTGGAGAGTCACAAGTCATCCCTGCTTTATTTTGTTAGCAGAAATAGTTGCTTGATGTGGCTTTCAGTAGGGTTTCTGCTTTTGTTTTATATTGAATTTATGTTAAGAATATTGAAGGTGAATGAAGAATATTAGATAGTAATGGACTGTCATGCTAAGTGTCGAGTTAAATTGCATGTTAGACATTTTATAATCAGTACAGTTTTTGTCATTGGAAAAGATTGGATATACGTTGGATATTTCAGTGGATCATGCCATTTGTTTGTTTTAATCATATCTGAGTGGTACTGCATTTTTCAATGGATTGTTGCATGACTGGTAACGGCTTTTGGCTAAGCAGTAGAGATCTGGGTTTGGATTTACAAGTTTGCAACGTATGGTTAAAACGGAAATAATAATAAGAGACACAATGACGGAGAGATTGTGATGCTCACGAGCCATACTGGGCTCAGTTTTATTTTATTTTTCTATAAGATATAAATAGAAAAGAGACATTTAATGAGAACGGTAATCTCAGCAGGCTCCAACTCCTCGCCAAAGTGGCTTGAAATGTCCGTGATAAATTGGTAAGCCTTGGCAGAGCAAAAGAAGATGAAATATTTTCTGCAGAAAAGGATGTTCATTTTTTAAATTCATCATCCGCAGATTGTAAGTGCAGCCCCGTTGGCATGCTGATAAATTAATGTTAGTCACTGGAACAAGGTGGTGAAAATCAAAACAAAACAAGAAATCCATGAATCATATATCAACAGAGCTCATTTTTAAGTCTCTTGGAAATAATATGTATTTTTTAAAAATGAAATGGGCAACAAGAGCAATAGAACGTGCTGAACCCCTGCTCTGCCAAGCTAGAGGGGGTTGAGGTGCCCCAGAAGTGTCTATTCATAGATGGGTCAATAGTGTGTGTGTGTTTTTGTCACCACAATGTGCCTGCAGAAAGCATGGAATGGGACAAACTACTGCTTGCAGATTCCTCACTGTTGGTTGCCAGAACAACCCTCTCCACCCCCAAAAAACCCAGGGCATTTTTGGGGGTGGGCAAGGGAAAGAGCTGGGCTGACCAATGATCTGCTGGATCCTAAGCCAGTCTTACAATAGACCTGCTCTGAATCTCTCTGTTGAACCATCTTGGAGCTGGTACCACAACAAAAAACACAATTTCTGGCATGAACGGCAGCTTCCATCTTTCCTGACCACTGGCCATCCTGTGAGCAGTTCTAGTTGGCCTGCGCAAAAAAGGGTATTGTACAGTCATACCTTGGGTTGCGATCGCTGCGGGTTGCGTGTTGTCGGGTTACGGACGCGCCAAAACCCGGACGTACTGGAATGGGTTACTTCTGGGTTTCACTGCTCGCGTATGCACAGAAACACTAAATCGCGCTTTGAGCCTGTGCAGAAGTGCTGAATCACGTCACGCACATGTGCAGATGCGGCGTTGCGGGTTGCGAATGCTGCGGGTTGCGAATGTGCCTCCCACACGGATCATGTTCGGAACCCAAGGTTCCACTGTAGAGCTGAAGAGAGCTCAGAAAAAGGCATCCAAAATGATCACAAGCCAGGAAAGCACCATATAAAATTGAGGAATTTACTACCACAAGATGTATTAATGGCCACCATTAATGGAGCCTTCAAATGGGTTTGACCAATTCATGGAAAACCACCTTCCCCTCCTCCTCCTTCTCCTCCTTCTTCCCCGCCCATCTGACTGGGTTTCCCCAGCCACTCTGGACAGCTTCCAACATATATAAACACATAACAAAACACTACACATTCAGATGTCTTCTAAAGGTTGTATAGTCACTTATCTCCTTGACATTTGATGGGAGTGCGTTCCATAGGGTGGGTGTGACCACTGAGAAGGCCCTCTGCCTGGTTCCCTGTAGCTTCACTTCTTGCAGTGAGGGAACCACCAGAAGGCCCTCAGAGCTGGACCTCAGTGTCCGGGCTGAAGAAGTGGAGAAGCTCCTTCAGGTATCATAAGGCTATCATTATGGGTACTAGCATGATGGCTATGCACTACCTCTCGTATCAGAGGTAAAATGTCCCTGAAAACCAGTTTCTGGTTCAGAAGTGTGCATTTATGTCCTGCTTGGAGGCTTGGCATCTTGGGCTCTGTTGGAACATGATGCTGAACCAGGTGGGCCTTTGGTGTGATCCAGAAGGGATAATAATAATAATAATAATAATAATAATAATAATAATTTTTTATTTATATCCCACACTCCCCAGCCAAAGCCGGGCTCAGCCGATCTTCTTTTGTTCCTACCTACTTTTATGAATGAAGTGATTTCTTGTAGTGATGTACACATTCCCATAAAACTCAGCTTTTCTAATAGTTACGACAGATTCTTGCCCCCGTTTAGTGATGGGAGATTTGCACATTGACAGTGATTTATATGGTCCTCTTCACACAACTGATGGACCTTCTTTTTTTGTCCATTGAAAAGGTAGAGATCAGCAAGTGCCAAACCTACAGGTGTATCCCCATGTCTAGATAAATGGGAGTCAGATTTGGTTGTGTCAACTGTAGAGAGGAAGTTAACTTACATTTTTACATACATTTTAACGTACCCAAACATAAGCCTGAGGCAAACTACAAACAAAGAAAAGCAAATGTACTTAAGTCAGTGTTTTTATAGCTTCATGGATATTGCCAAGATGTTGGAAATAATTAAATTTGAGGTTTTTCCAAAAACTGACTACATGAAAAAATAATATTTTTTACATAATGAACCTGGACCGTTGCCCTAAAAACATCTTTCCAAGTGTGATCCCAATAGGTTTATCAGCTTAGTGATGGATGCTCTGCTTCTGCAGCCACAGAAGAAGAAGAAAAAGACTTATAGTACTTTAACTTGAAGTCTGGCAGGACTTTATTCAAGTATGTTTAGGGATGCAGCTAAAGGCTGTGTTTGCACATAATGCTAAACCATGGTTAGCCCTATGTACACAAGCAGAAAAGGACCCGTGTGAAGTCTCTTGCTTGTGTACTCACCCTCCCGTTTCTTCCTCTTACATGGCCAAAAGGAGGACATTGCCAGGAGTAGTTTCATTCCCACAATTCCTGGCTCCTTGCTACATGCAAACCAGAGATCATGGCTTAAAACAAGCTCTGGTCAGTTTCAAAACATGCCAAAACATAACCAGGGGTTATGAATCTGGCTTGCTTATTTGCTGAAGCTTTTAATTTTATTGAGACAACTGGGACCTGAAAAAATAACAGTGTTGTAGTTGTATATTCCCACCCACTCCGGGATATAATCTGTAAGGACGGCCTTGGTCCAGTATGCCTGAAGGAGCGTCTCCACCCCCATCATTCTGCCCAGACACTGAAGTCCAGTGCCAAGGGCCTTCTGGAGGTTCCCTTGCTGTGAGAAGCCAAGTTACCGGGAACCAGGCAGAGGGCCTTATCGGTAGTGGCACCTGCCCTGTGGAACGCTCTCCCACCAGATGTCAAAGAGAACAACAACTATCAGACATCTGAAGGCAGCCCTGTTTAGGGAAGCTTTTAATGTTTAACAGACTATTGTATTTTAATATTTTATTGGAAACTGCCCAGAGTGGCTGGGGAAACCTAGCCAGATGGACGGGGTATAAATAATAATCATCATCATCACCACCACCTATCATTAATCCCTCTCAGGATGCTTCCCATTGGCTATCACAGGCTTAAGAGGCCAATTCCTCCTCTTTTCCCCATCTCCACCTTCATTTCCCCCCACTACCTCATCAATTGGCACACAACACTCTGTAAGACCTAGACGCTCACAGATATCGTCAGGCCATTTTGCTTCCAAACCGAGTTACATGATTTTCTTGTTGCAGGGGAAAAGTTGGATTTGCAACACTCTCCTTCAGGACACTTCATGCTACCCCTCCTTTTCTATTTTGTAGCCACTGTCAATATTCATTAGTCTGGATTTTTTTTGAGGGGGCGGGTTGTACTTTTGTAAACTTTGGAGTATGTAGATATTTCCCCCATGTTTCTCATTGGCCCTATTTTGGCTCCATTTTATTGACTGAGTTTGCTGTTAGATGGAGTAACAACAATTGCTCACTTTGTTATATTGTTTTAAATGTTGTTTTGTTAGCTGTGGCCAAATGGTTCAAAAGTTCGGATAGGCAAATTGTAAATGAACACAGCAAAAGTAAACAATGTAATGAAGGACAAAAATCAGTGGATTTATTTACTAACAGACCAGAATTTGACTGAATAGCAACACTCATCTGAATAACTATTGTCTTCATGACTTCACTGTGACTTCCTCCCAAAGTAACTGTACATGCAGTTTTATTCTGTGTTATAATAACCTGTAGAAGATGGAGAAACTGCCTTGAAAAAGCTGTAAAGACAACTTTTATAGAGATATTAGCAGGCAAGCGCTTGCTCAGAATAGAGGAATCATGTCATTATCAGTAGTTTCTCTAGAAGACTCAAGATAAGCTTGACCCTAGGATTTTACAATGCATAAAATTTATGTCCTTCAAAACCACTACACAACTTTTAAAAATTATTTGAGATAATACAGATGACAAATCTTTCTGACCTATATATGGATTATTTAGTTTACATGTTATGCAGAAAGAATAAAATATTTTTAAACTAAAGAGGTAGGAGAGTTATGACACACTGTCAGCTTCCTATTTTTCGCTTCCACCAAAACACTAAAAAGAAGAAGAACATAAATCAAATTAGAGCATAAACGGAACAAGTGACGAGAGGATTACTCAAATAAGATGAAATAATTCATGAGGTTTTAGTTTAAGGAATGATTCATTTGCATTAGATTGACTGAACTCCATCAAGTCACAGTAGTGTAAAGAATGGTTTGCACTCCCAGAGCTTCTATGTCCCTGAAAAGGAAAGGAAAGTTCTTTGATGATGACAGTCCATTTCACAATCTCCCATCCATGTTTTCATTATACATGGCGGAAGAACTAGCTTGATAACATTTAAACCAGGGATGGGGAACCTCCAGAATAAAATGGGGAGAAGGTAGAACCTTTTATACCACCCATAACCTTATATGAAAAGGTAAAGGTAAAGGCACCCCTGACCATTAGGTCCAGTCATGGCCGACTCTGGGGTTGTGGCACTCATCTCGCTTTATTGGCCGAGGGAGCTGGCGTACAGCTTCCGGGTCATGTAGCCAGTATGACTAAGCTGCTTCTGGCAAACTAGAGCAGCGCACGGAAACACCATTTACCTTCCCGCCAGAGCGGTACCTATTTATCTACTTGCACTTTGACGTGCTTTCGAACTGCTAGGTTGGCAGGAGCTGGGACTGAGCAACGGGAGCTCACCCTGTTGAGGGGATTTGAACTACCGACCTTCTGATCGGCAAGTCCTAGGCTCTGTGGTTTAACCCACAGTGCCACCCGCGTCCCGGCGCCACCCGCGTCCCCTTATATGAAAAGCAGTATATAAATGGACTATATAAAAACTTGTTGGCTGGACAACATCCCACCACTAATAAAAGAACAGAAGTTGAGTTGCTGTGCCATTAAAGTTAGTTATGTAAGCAGTCTTGGGCATTGCCAGTATGGTAGTTTATAAGGCCTTATATCATTTTAACACTAGATACCATCGGACTGCTACCATATGCCTCATATAAATATTAGATTTATGCTACTTAATAAGGTGTTAGGAGCCGCAGTCAATGTGTAGCAATAAAAAGCACTGGTGTCCATGAAATTAACTCGTTATTCAAAGAAACTAAAACAGTGTAGGCCTAGTGATCACAGCAACTCTTCCCAGTGAGGTAGATGTGAGGACTGAAGATCCCCACTCTCTAAGGCTCCTCTCCCTATTCCTTCCCCAGCAGTCCAAGACTCTATTGTCTTGTCTCACTTGGCTCCACCCTGTTCATTTTTCTGCATGTTCTGGGAGACCAGGAGAGAGGGAAGCTGGTCACTGCAGGAGAGAGATATTCCATGACTTCTTCAGCAGCCTGACTCATGTCTCCTGGCCCCACTCCTCTCCTGCCTCCGATTCTTGGCTGCCTTCTGCCACAGCTTCTTCCTGATCACCAAACCCTCTTCAGCTCCCGACACCTCCTCCTCCTAGTCTGCCCCCTCTTCTCCCTCTGACCACTCATTGTCATCCCACAACCAGTTCCCTGGGGGCTCCTCAGCTGGTACCTCCTCTGCCTCTAGGTAAAGGTAAAGAACCCGTGGACAGATAAGTCCAGTCAAAGGCGAATATGGAGTTGTGGCACTCATCTCGCTTTCAAGCCAAGGAAGCCAGTGTTTGTCCACAGACAATTTTCTGGGTCATGTGGCCAGCATGACTAAACCGCTTCTGGCACAACAGAACACCGTGACAGAAACCAGAGTGCATGGAAATGCCATTTATCTTCCCACCGCAGTGGTACCTATTTATCTACTTGCACTGGTGTGCTTCCAACTGCTAGGTTGGCAGGAGATGGGACAGAACAACAGGAGCTCACCC